ATTTAAAGTATCAAGAAATGTTGTCTCTGCATTTCATCCTAAGGTGACATGTACCCAGTCAATATCGGGATAACTGAAATCCCCCACTATTATTGAGTTCTTGATTTTGATAGCCTCTCTAATCTCCCTTAGCATTTCATTGTCACTATCACTGTCCTGGTCAGATGGTCAATAATAGATCCCTACTGTTATATTCTTATTAGAGCATGGAATTACTATCCATAGAGATTCTATGAAACATGAGGATTTATTTAAGATTTTTACTTCATTTGATTCTACATTTTCTTTCACACATAGTGCTACTCCTCCCCCCCCATCTGTTCTGTCCTTCCGATATATTTTGTACCCCAGAATGATTGTGTCCCATTGATTGTCCTCACTCCACCAGGTTTCTGTGATGCCTTCTGTATCAATTATTATACCCACCCCCCACTGCCAAAGAACCTCCAGACCCCAACACCCCCCACCCGACTGCCACAGAACATCCAGACCCCAACATTCCACCCAACTGCCACAGAACCTCCAGATCCAAACATTCCCCCCACCCCCACCCGACTGCCACAGAACCTCCAGACCCCAGCACCCCCCACCCGACTGCCACAGAACATCCAGACCCCAACATTCCACCCAACTGCCACAGAACCTCCAGAGCCCAACATTCCCCCCACCCGACTGCCACAGAACCTCCAGACCCCAGCATCCCCCACTCAACTGCCACAGAACCTCCAGACCCCAACATTCCACCCAACTGCCACAGAACCTCCAGATCCCAACATTCCCCCCACCCCCACCCGACTGCCACAGAACCTCCAGACCCCAGCATCCCCCACCCGACTGCCACAGAACCTCCAGACCCCAACATTCCACCCAACTGCCACAGAACCTCCAGATCCCAACATTCCCCCCACCCCCACCCGACTGCCACAGAACATCCAGACCCCAACATTCCACCCAACTGCCACAGAACCTCCAGAGCCCAACATTCCCCCCACCCGACTGCCACAGAACCTCCAGACCCCAGCATCCCCCACTCAACTGCCACAGAACCTCCAGACCCCAACATTCCACCCAACTGCCACAGAACATCCAGACCCCAACATTCCACCCAACTGCCACAGAACCTCCAGAGCCCAACATTCCCCCCACCCGACTGCCACAGAACCTCCAGACCCCAGCATCCCCCACTCAACTGCCACAGAACCTCCAGACCCCAACATTCCACCCAACTGCCACAGAACCTCCAGATCCCAACATTCCCCCCACCCCCACCCGACTGCCACAGAACATCCAGACCCCAGCACCCCCCACCCGACTGCCACAGAACATCCAGACCCCAACATTCCACCCAACTGCCACAGAACCTCCAGAGCCCAACATTCCACCCAACTGCCACAGAACCTCCAGAGCCCAAACTCCCCCCCCCCCCCCCCACCGCCATGGAACGGACAGACCCCAACATTCCATCTGAAATGGCCCCTCCCCCTGTCTCCTCCTGCTGCAGTTACCCTGTGGGGGCGTCAGGCCGCGAGGAGCCGGAGGAGCTGCTCGCTCCAGCTGGGCTTCACCCCGCGGTGGGAGAAGAGCACTTTGACTGAGACCCGGGACCCCCGATCCCCAGGGAGCCCATAATTCGGATTCCATCCGCTCCCTCTCCAATCTCTAGCGAGCACCCACAGGGAACTCTACCGCCTGCTACCCCTCCCGGGGCACGTGCCGTGGGGGGAGCGCACCCCACCGCTCCCCACGCTGGTCTAGTCTCTGCGGTGCCTTCCCCGGGGGCTCGAGCTCTGCCCACCCCGGGCGCGCTCCGTTTTCCCCGGCCTCCGGCGAGTCACCGGGTTAAAAACATAGAGATCGGCAGCGCCCCGGACTAGAGCGGAGCCCGGAGGAGCGGGGCTGCGATCGCGCAGGGACCTTCCTGTCCCAGCCCCGGACACCTGGGTCCCGAGCCCCCGGCTGCAGCGCTCCCCGGCCCGGGCGCGATCCCCCGCATGGAGCCAGGGGAAGAGCCGAGGGTCCCGGATCTCCCGGGCGCCCAGGAACGGGAGACCCCCAGAGGCGCCCCCCCAGGTGAGGAATGAGCCACACCGGCTGGGAGTGAGGGGGGAAGCTGGGGTCCCAGCCAAGCCAGCGGGAGCCCCCCCAGTTCTGTCTGGTCAGTATCGTCCCCAGCAGGTCCCAGTCCTCATGGCAGGTGTCACTCCCGGATCCCCCCCCCGGCAGGAGCCCTCCCCTCCCCCAGCCTTTCTCTGAGGGCTCAGCTGGGATGCTGGGGCAGCCCCGGCCCCCCCCCCTCCCCTCAGGGAAGGATTTGCGGGCGTGGGGTGCTTCTTACCCTCATGTTTCCTGCTCAGTGACAAACCCCTTTGTTATCCCTTCTCACCCGGGCGCAGGGAACGAGCCCCGGCTGGATTCACGCTCTGTCCCAGCAGCTGCCAGGACAGACAAGGACAACCCCAAGCAGGAAGGCCTGGCAGGAGCAAAGCTGCATGGGATGTCCCACTGTTTCAAGCAGGGAGATGATGCCTGTGGGGCAGGACAACAGCAGGGAGCCCCCCCGGGGCAGAGACCTAGTGATCTCGCCCCGCTGGCCTCCACCCCAGCAGAGAAACCCTACAAATGCCACGAGTGCAACAAGAGCTACAGCCTGAGCTCGAACCTGAGCCGCCATCGCAGGATCCACACGGGGGAGAGAGCCCACAGATGTGCCCAATGTGGGAAGAGCTTCCACTTCAGCTCCCAGCTTGTCCAGCACCAGATCAGCCACACTGGGGAGCGACCCTACAAATGCCCCGACTGCGGGAAGAGCTTTGGTGTGAGCTCCAACCTTCTCCAGCACCAGCGCATCCACTGGGTGGAGCGACCCTACAGCTGTGCCAACTGCGGGAAGAGCTTTGGCCACAGCTCCCACCTGGCCCGGCACCAGCGCATCCACATGGACGAGAGACCCTACAAGTGTGGGGAGTGCGGGAAGGCTTTTGGGGTGAGCTCGGCCCTGATCCGGCACCAGCGGATCCACACGGGTGAGAGGCCTTACAAGTGTCTGGTTTGCGGGAAGAGCTTCAACCTTAGCTCCAACCTCTTCACCCATCGCAGGATCCACTGGGACGAGAAACCTTTTAAATGCCCTGAATGTGGGAGGAGCTTCAGCCAGAGCTCAAGCCTCAGCCGCCACCAAATCAGCCATACGGGGGAACGACCATACAAATGCCCTGAGTGTGGAAAGTGCTTCAACCAGAGCTCCCTCCTGATCCGGCACCAGCGGATCCACACGGGGGAGCGACCCTACAGATGCTCCCAGTGCTGGAAGAGCTTCCTACGGAGCTCCCAGCTGAAGAGACACCAGAGAGTCCACACCAGGTAGGGGGCAGTGGTTGATGGCTCTCTGGTATCCCGCTGGACCTGGGCCATAGCAGTTATACAGACTGACTGGGATCACTTGGATAATTGGGATTGTCTCAACAAGATGTGTTTTAACACAGCCAAATGCAATGCTGTACATTCAGGAACTATGAGAATGTATTTTGCATTTACTGGGTGAAGGACTGTATCCTGGGACACAGTGACTCTGAAAAGGACTTACGGGTCCTGGCGGATAACCAGCTGACCATCAGCTCCCAGTGTGATGCTCTAGCTAAGAGAGTAACGTGATCCTTGGTTCTATAAACCGGGGAATATCGAGTAGCAATGGAGAGTGGGTAACACCTCTGTATGCGGCATTGGGGAGAGCATTGTAGGAGACTGCGTCCAGTTCTGGAATGCACCCTTCAGAAGGGATGTTGACAAATTAGGAAACGTTCAGAAAAGAGCCACAAAAACAGTGTGAGGTCTGGGAAACCTTCCTTGTAGTGAGCCACTAAAGAAGTTTGATCTATTTAGCTTATCCAAGAGAAGATGAGTCGATGACTGGATCCCAGTACCTACATGGGGAGGAGAATGCTGATAGCAGAAAGGTCTTCAGTGTAGCAGTCAAAGGCTAAATGAGATCCAATGGCAGGAAGCTGAAGGGAGACAAATTCAGACTGGAAATAAGGTGTGAATTTCTAGCAGTGGGGGGAATTAACCTCTGGAACAACTCACCAAGGGGTGTGGTGGATTCCCCATCACTTGGAGTCTTTACACCAAGACTGGATGACTGTCTGTAAAAGTTCCACTCTAGAGCCACCAGAAGTTCTGGGCTGGCTACAGGAATCACACGGTGAGGTTCGTTGGCCAGGGTTATGCAGGAGGTCAGGCCGGGTGGTCAGAATGGTCCCTTCTGGCTATAAACTACAAATCCCTCACCCCTGTCGACCTAGCTGTGGGAGGCAGAGAGTGATAGAGACACAAAATGAAGGATTCACATAAACATATCAAGGCAGGCAGAACTAAGACTAAGAGACCACATGGTCCTCAAAGTCAGCAGATCTGGGTTGTATTCCTGCCTCGGCTACTGACTGGCTGTGTGTCCTTAAGCAAGTCCCTTCCCCTCTCTGTGCCTCAGTTTACCCTCCTGCCCTTTCTGTTTTCCCTTGTATGTCCTTTGGGGCAGGGACTGTTCTTGCTCTGGGTGTGTGCTGCGTCCAGCACAATGGGGCCCTGATCTGGGGTGGGCCTGTGAGTGTGGTTGTAATAGAAATAACTAACCAAGTAAGAAGCTTTCGCATCATTTATAAATGATTCTGTCACCTCCTCCTTGTGCTGCTTTATCCCTGGTGGAAGTGGCGTCCCACAACCCAAGCCTGTTGACTGAGCAAAATGAGATGTTACCCTTAACTCCAGGGCATCAATTGGACAACCAGTAGGGGGTAAATGGGGGACACACAGAGCTCCTGGCATGGGGAAAAGAGGGAGATGGGGGAGACACATAGAGCCCCTGACATGGGAGTGATGGGGGGGGGAACAGAGCCCCTGGCATGGGGAAGAGGGGGCAACCAGGGAGGACACAGAGCTCCTGGGATAGGGCCAGGGTTCAGGTAATCCCTGAAATAGAGGGGGCTGGGAGGGTGGTACACTGGGAGCTTGTGGGGGATGTGGAGGGATGCACAAACAGAGGAATCTTGAATAGGAGTAAAGAGGTTATTTTATCTCTGCATTTGGCAGCGGTTCCAGTGCTGGAACCCACAATTCAAGAAGGATGTTGATAAATTGGAGAGGGGTCAGAGAAGAGCCACAAGAATGATGAAAGGATTAGAAAACCGGCCTTAATAGTGACAGACTCAAGGAGCTCAATCTATTTAACTGTCCAAAGAGAAGATTAGGGGGTGACTTGAACATAGTCTGTAAGTGCCTACACGAAGAACAAATATTCAATAATGGGCTCTTCAATCTAGCAGAGAAAGGTCTGGCATGATCCAATGGCTGGAAGTTGAAACTAGACAAATTCAGACTGGAAATAAGGTGTAAATTTTTGACACTGAGTGTAATTAACCACTGGAACAATTTACCAAGAGTTGCGCTGGAGTCTCCATCACTGACCATTTTTAAATTGAGATTGGATGTATTTCTAAAAGCTCTGCTCTAGGAATTCTTTTGGAGCCGTTCTCTGGCCTGTGTTATCCAGGAGGTCAGACGAGATGATCACACTGGTCCCTTCTGGCCTTGGAATCTATGAGGAAGCCCTGGTGGGTGCAAAGAACTTGGCGAACAGAAGAAACAAAGTGTGGGACCCTCTAGCACAGAATGTAGGTCACTTCAGGAGCTGAAAGTAGCGATAGGTCAGAGCCCTTCACTCCCAGCTCCCACCCCACATCCCTGGGGCCTCCCAGGAGGTCTCCAGCAGGACTACAGAAGAGGAGACTGATCGGGGCTGGGGTTTAATTTGAGATCAAGAACACCGTTATGAAGAGGAACTTTCCACATCTGCTGGGATGCTTCTCCACCTGTTCTGTTCTCCATCTGTCCCTGGAGAATGGGCTCATGGGTGGTGGTTGGCACGGTGGGACAAGGGCACATTAACTGGGACACAGGACTCTGAGCCCTTAAGGGAGCCCGTACTTCTGATCCCATGTGTTTCTTCTCCAATCCCTAGAGAGCACCCAGAGGGAAATCTACTGCCTGGTACCTCTCCCTGGGCACATCCCCTGTGGAGAGGGCACCCCATTTGTCCCCACGCTGGTCTAGTTTGTAGTGTCTTCCCCAGGGGCTCGAGATCTGACCACCCCACTCTCTCCATGTCAGGAGCCTTTTCCTAACACTGTATCCGGCATCTCCCTGGGTTAAAAACATAGAGATCGGATGCACCCCGGACTAGAGCGGAGCCAGGATGAGCGGGGCTGTGATCGCGCAGGGACCTTCCTGTCCCAGCCTCCCGGGCTCCCCAGCCCCTGTGCGCGCAGGGGCCAGTCGCCGGCTGCCGCCCCACAGCGCCCAGGCGGGACTCGCCCCGGCCGGGCGTTGAGTGGGGACCCCGGAGGCAGGGGAGAGGCAGAGGCAGGAGATCGCTGCCGGGAGGAAGCGGCCGCAGCGACAGGGGGATGGGCGCTGACCCCCAGCTGGGGCTGGAGAGACCCGCCAGCCCTCTGGGAGGCGGGGTGGGCTGGGGGTCGGTGCAGCGGGGGAAGGAGTTTTCTGTGCAGTTGAGTTCGGTAGAGCCCGGGCGCGTTCTCTGCACCGAGCCCCGGGGGGAGGTTTCACCGAGCCCCGTCTCTCCCCTTTCTTTCCCCCGAGCAGGATTCCCTGGCCCGGCCACGATCCCCCGCACGGAGCCAGGGGAAGAGCCGAGGGTCCCGGATCTCCAGGGCTCCCAGGAAAGGGAGATCCCTAGAGGCGCCCCCACAGGTGAGAGACACCAGAGACCCGTGGAGATGGGGAGCGGGGTTGTATCCTGGGAAGCGGTGACCCTGTAAAGAACCTAGGGGCCTCGATGGAAACCTAGTGAAAGCCTGAGCTCCAGGTGCAATCCTCTGGCTAGGAGGGTAAGACGATCCATGGACCCATGAACAGGGAGATAATCCAGCAGTGGCCAGGAGGGGTTATCACCTCTGTACAGAATCCTAGAATATCAGGGTTGGAAGAGACCTCAGGTGCAGGAGTCACTGACTGAACTGCTCCAGCCTGAGTTACACAGGAGGTCAGACTAGGTGATCACCATGGTCCCTTCTGGCCTTCGCATCTGTGTATGTTCTCTCACTCCCAGCAGATGCCAGGACAGCAGGTGAGGAGAATCCCCGGCAGGAAGGGCCTGTGGAAGCAGAGCCTCACTGAAATCCCGGAGTGCCAAGTTGGGAAATGCCAGCGGGGCAGGGTGGCAGCAGTGAGATCTCCAGGAGGGAAGAGGCTTGTAGGCACTCGGGGTCCCAGTGGGGATGCAGCGGGGGGAGCAAGCCTACCACTGCCCCGACCGCGGAAAGGGATTCAGCCAGAGCACAAACCTCCTAACCCACCGGCGAGCACACATGGGGGAGAGCCCGTACGAATGCCCTGATTGCGGGAAGGCCTTCAGCTGGCGCTCCCACCTGCTGGAGCACCAACGCATCCACACTGTGGAGCGCCCCTACCAGTGTGGGGAGTGCGGCAAGAGCTTCAGCTGGAGTTCGGCTCTGATCCAGCACCAGAGCACTCACACAGGCGAGCGGCCCTACCGCTGCCCCGACTGTGGGAAGAGCTTCAGCCGTGGCTCCAACCTGCTGCAGCACAAACGGATCCACAAGGGCGAGCGCCCCTTCCTGTGCAGCCAGTGTGGGAAGGGCTTCAGCCAGAGCTCCTACCTCTATGAACACTCGCGCACCCACACCGGCGAGCGCCCCTACAAGTGCCCCGACTGTGGGAAGGCCTTCGCCCAGAGCTCCACATTGGCCCGGCACCAGGGGGCCCACACCAGCGAGCACTGCTTCCCCTTCATTGGCTGCAGGAGGACTTGATGCAGGGCAGGGAGGCTGCTGCAAACACTCACGCTCCTTTGGATGGGGAGAACCTGCTGCTGTCTCCAGCTGGGGTCCTGTCCCGGGAGCCTCAGCTATTGCATCAAGTTGAGAGTCTGAAAAGGTGACTGATGGAGACATGTCTCCCTGGGGTCCTGCCCCATTAACCCACGGGGGGGACATACCACTGCATCTGGCTGAGGGTTTCCAGTGGTGGATCATGCAGCCACATCCCACTGCATTCAGCTGGGGTCCTGGCCTGGAGAACCCAGGGGATACATGTCACTGATCTGGCTGGGGTCCTGTGCCAGTGGAATGCAGAGGGGACATGCCACTGCCTCAGGATAAAGGTCTGCCATCTCCCTGTGGCCCTGGCTGAGTGGCCCTGTAGCAGTGGTTTTCAAACTGCGGGTCGCGACCCGCTACTGGGTCATGGAATGTAAGGCTCTGGGTCTCGGCGGCTCTGATCAGCACCGCCAAGCGGGCCGTTAAAAGTCCCATTGGTGGTGCTGCCCGGCTAGGGCAGGCTAGTTCCTGCCTGTTCTGACACCATGCTGCGCCGCAGAAGTGGCCAGCAGTAGGTCCAGCTCCTAGGCGGGGGGACCGTGCGGCTGTACGCACTGCCCCTGCCCCAATCACCGGCTCCGCACTCCCGTTGGCCAGAAACCAGCTAATGGGAGCTGGGGGGTGGTGCCTGTGAACGAGAGCCACATGGAGCCACTTGCATGCCTCCGCCTAGGAGCCAGATCTGCTGATGGCCGCTTCTGGGGCGCAGCGCGGTCCGCAGTACCAAGACAGGCAGGAAGCCTGCGTTAGCACCCCCACTGCACCGCTGACCGGGAGCTGACCGAGGTAAGCCCGCACCCCAATCCCCTGCCCCAGCCCTGCGTCCTCCCAGAGCCCCCTCCTGCACCTCAAACCCCTCATCCCCGGCCCCACCCTAGAGCCTGCACCCCCTGCCCAGAGCCCTGATCCCCTCCCACACCCCAACCCTCTGCCCCAGCCCTGAGCCCCTCCCACATCCCAAAACCCTCATCCCCAGCTCTGTTAGGTCATGGGCATCAACAATTTTCTTCAACTGGGTCACCAGAAAAAAAGTTTGGAAACCACAGCCCTATAGGATAGGGGTCACTGATCAAACCTCAGTGGCCTTTGGAGGGATGTGCCACCCCATCAGGCTGAGGGTCTGCAGTAGCAGATCGTGGAGCCAGTTCCCACTGCAGCCAGCTGGGATCCTGGCCTGGTGGCTCCCATGGGGCACATCACTACATTGTGTCTCACCTCTCCCCACCGGGGGTTGAGCCTAGTAACTCTGTTTCTAGACCTATGCCTCCCTCCTGTCAGCAATAAAGGACGTGTTGCCTAAGAGGCACTGACAAGCCCATCATTTACCTGTTAGGGAGGGACATAGGCACCCTGTTAGCACAGGTTACAGCTAGCCTGAGGGTCACTGGATTATGTACCCATACTCCCTTGGTTGGTCTATTCATGGGGCTCAAACCCATAACCTCTGGCTTTCTACTGCCCTATGTTCTCTCTTTGACTCAGGTCCCATTCAGCTGGGCTGAGAGGTGAAAACAAGCACTGATACTTTCCCCTCCCCCCCACCCCCCCGCCACTGGTGGCATCAATATGAGCCATCAGCTCACAATAAATTGAGTGGATCGTCTTTCATTACATGGAAGAAGTAAGTGTGTGTGTGAGAGAGAGTTGGAGGGAGAAGCACAGTGCTCGCATAGTGCTCGGGTACTGGACCGTATGGAGGATACATCAGAGGGTCCATACAGAAGAGGGACCAATCAGAGGTAGCACATATTATTGGAACACCTAGGAGCCTCAGTCAGGCTCCAGGACCACACCATGGTGGATACTGTACATTATTTATTAGGTGGATTATGGTAACACCTAGGAGCACAGGTCAGGCACCAGGACTGCACTGTGTTTGATACTGTATGTTATTTATTAGGTGTTGTGATGGGTTGCCCCCCGCTTCCAGGGTGCCATCTGATTTTACTGCAGTACCGTTGAGCCCACCTGTTCCACCGGCTTGGGCTCCCGCACCCTGTCCTGCTAAACCAGGCCCTCAAGCCTCCTCTAGCACACACACAGGTAGGGCCACACTCAGCTGCAGAAAGACAGACACTGAGATCAGCTCTGTGTGGGACGACTCAGCTCGGGAATTTCCCAGCACTCAAGAGCACATCCCCTCTGGACTGTAAACCCAAAATTGTATTGTCTTGCACCACTCAGAAGTCTGTACAGCGTAAGCTCATGGAAATCGCCCCCTACTTCAATGTGGAGGAAGATATGCAAAGCTTTTTGGCCCCAGTTATGAATTGCACAAACTGGTTTAGAGAAAACAAAACGAGTTTATTAACTACAAAGGATAGATTTTAAGTGATTATAAGGGATAGCTATCAGATCAAAGCAGATTACTGAGCAAATAAAACACGCAAACTAACTAACACTAAAGAAACTGTCTACAAGTAGTAACTTCTCACCCTAAATGTTGTTTTAAGCAGGTTGCAGAGTTTCTTGAAGACAAACTTCTCTTTCTTGCAGCTTAGAACGGCCAGATATTCCATCCACAGGCCAGACACCTTCTAGCCTGGGTCCTGTCCTTTCTTCCCCCAATCACTCTTAGGTGTTTTCAGCAGTCATCCTGGGCGGGGATTCAGTGAAGAACCAACCAAGATTAACTCACTTCCCTGCCCTAAATAGGATTTATATATGGCGGGAATCCTTTGTTTCCTAGTTTGGTCCCCACCCCCGATTAGTGGAAAAATACTAGTAGGCCAAGATGGGGTCCAGTACCAGGTGACATGATCACATGACCCTGCAGTGTCAAAGCAGCATCCCAGGAAGGTAGGAGATTAGCATCTTCAGAGTCCTATTGTTCGCCCTAATGGCCTGTCCAGGCTGATTGCCTACTGTCGAGTGGGCATTCTCCAAGTGTAAACACAGTTGTAATTGTTACATAGTCAATAATCAAAACTTCAGATACAGAAATGATACATGCATACAAATAAGATAATCATACTCAGTTCATCACCTTTCCAATGATACTGCACATGACCCATCTTGCATAAAACATATCTTAGTTATGCCATATTCATACTACAATATCTCTATGACGAATATGGGGCGTAGTGTCACTGAGGTATTATGGTAGCACCTAGAAGCCCCAGTCATGAGCCAGGACCGCATTATGCAGGTGCTGCACCAACACAGGATGTGGGGAGAATCATATGGGGGAAGCATCAGTAAGCCTCAGGACTCCTGGGTTCTATTTTCTAAGAGAAGAAGGATGGCCCACTGACTGATTCCAATTCCCTGCTTCACCGCAGACTGTCTATGTGGCCTTTGGCAAGTCATCACAGCCAGATCCTCAAAGGTATTTAGGCGCCTACTTAATTCAAGACTAGGCACCTCTCTGCATCTTTAGGCACCTAAAAACCTTTGAGGAGCTGGCTCTTAGTTGCTCGGTGCCTCAGTTTCCCCATCTGTAGTATGGGGATAATAGCTCTGCCCCGCCTCGCAGCGGGTGTTGTGAGGATAAATACATTACAAATAGTGAGGCACTCAGATACTACTTCTCTGGTCCCCACTGATGTATCTTAGCTAGATAGCTGTTGCCAGCACTGTCTCACTATATGACTGTATACCAGTCTCTTCCCTGCTCTGTGCCTCAGTTTCCCCATCTATAAAATACGTGTGTACCGGGCCTACATGAGTGAATGTTCCTCGGGCAGATTCTACCGGGGCCCCAAGATATTACGATGTGGAATATTTCAAGTATGCTGGTCGCTATCTAGCTCTGTTCTCTCTTCCATTCCTGGTACTTGTAAAATCAGTCGAAGGCAATGCTTTTCCATATCACCCACCATTAGCTGGCTGACTGCGAGCTCAGGAGCCCAGTGTCACCCAAGGACTGTCCTCTCTGGTCACCCCCTCCTCTAATCCACTCACCCCATGCCCCTCTCAGAGTTGCAGTGCTCAAATTGTAATGAAAGAGGTGCCAGGGCTCAAGCAATTGTTTTTGGTTTGTTTGGTTTTTTTACATTCATAACTGATGCAGCAAGCCCAGAGGTGCTGTGGCTCTGAACTGCCCAAGCCTAGAGGTGCCGGGGCTCAGCCCTGGCACAAATTAAGCACTGCAGAGTTGGGGCTGGAACCCAGGAGTCCTGGGCAGCGTCTGTGACATGAGGAGTAGAGAGTTACAGCTTTTCACCCCGTCATAAATATGCAAGAGGAGCTGGATCTGAAATCTCCAGCAGGCCCGGAACCAATGGCCAACCCTGCCCTACCATGCACTGCAAAGAGAAGCTCCATTTCCCGGAGTCCCTTGCAATGGGGGCTGCACTAATTGTGGGACAGAATCCTAGCCGCAGCCTATTCCCACCCCCTTAGTTCCTGCCCCGGCACTGGGGACCAGCTGGTGCTGAGTAGGGTCCCTTGCGGTTCTAGGTGCTGTTTGAAGAGGTGGCCGTGTATTTCTCCCAGGTGGAGCGGGAGCTCCTGGACGAAGGGCAGAGGCAGCTCTACAGGGACGTCATGCAGGAGAACTACCAGACTCTCATCTCGCTGGGTGAGGAGCTACTGCTGCTCAGGGATTAGGAGCTGTAGGACTTTGACATACCTGGGTTTGACTCCCAGCCCCCACCCTCCCACTTTAACCCACTAGACCCCACTCCCCTCCCCGAGCTGGGGATGGAGCCCAGGGCTCTTCCTCAAACCCTTACATTTCTGGGAGATCAGGCCCTGCAGCTCCCAAACCCAGCAGCACAGAGACTGTCACCCCTACAGTGCAGCACCCATGTGCCCCCATCAGAGAACAGGGTCAGGATATTGAGCCCTTCAGGGGAGATTTAACAAAGCACTGTCTCATCAGTTTCCTTCCCCATCCCTGAGATCTCCCAGATGGAGAGAGGGGAAGAGCCGAGGGTCCTGGATCTCCAGGGCTCTGAGGGGAGGGAGATCCCCAGAGGCGCCCACACAGGTGAGGAATGAGCAACACCGGCTCAGAGACCATCTGGGAGCAAAGGGGGAAGCTGGGACCCCAGAAAAGCTGCTGAGAGCCCCCCAGTTCTTTCTCATCTCTCAGTTTTGCTGCCTTTTTTTAAACAGCTAACAAAATCATCCAAAGCACAGCCTTAGCGGCAGCCACGCTACACCACCAACCGGGAGCCGCCAGAGGTAAATGCTGCCCGGCGGGAGGCTGCACCCCAACCCTGAGCCCCCTCCTGGACCCAGCACCCTGAACCCCCTCCTGTACCCCAAACCCCAGCCCTGACCCCCCTCCCAGAGCCAGCACACCCACCCTCTCCTGCAACCCAGCCTCCTGCCCCAGCCCTGACCCTCTCTCCCAGAGCCCACAGCCCGCACCCTCTTCTGCACCCCAGCACTCTGCCCCAGCCCAGAGCCCCCTCCTGCACCCAAACTCCCTCCCAGAGCTTGCACCTCTCACCCTCTCCTACACCCCTGCCCCAGGCTCAGCCCAGAGCCCCCTCCTGTACCCCAACCCCCTGCCCCAGCCCCGTGAAAATGAGTGAGGGTGGGGGAGAGCGACTGTTGGGGGGGGGTGGAGTGAGTGGGGCGGGGCCTTGGGGAAGGGGCGGGAATAGCTCCTGGGTTGCCCTTACTTTCAAAAAGTGATCTTGGGTGTAAAAAGGTTGGAGACCACTGCCCTACACTAAGCAGTCCCCGCCCTGCCTTTCCAGTCTCGGCTGCCTGCTGATCCTTCCCGTCCCCTGCCAGCTCTCTGGGGCTCCCTCGCCCTGCCATGCGCCCACAGGGGAGGGTACAGCTCCCGCCCCCATCATAACTATGCAAAAGAAGGTGGCGCTGAAATAATCTCCAGCACGCCCCCGTTGCCCAGGGTGCATTGCAAAGGGAGACTCCATTTCCCAGAGCCCCGTGCAGGGGGGAGGGCACTCAACGTGGACAGGCTCCCAGCCCCAGCCCCTTCCCACCCCCTTAGCTCCTGCCCCAGCAGCAGCCGGCGGCTCCCTGGTGGTTCTCCCGGGCGGAGTGGGGGCTTCTGGGGGAGGCTCCGAGGCCGCTCTGCAGGGACGTCATGCAGGAGAATGACAAGACCTTGACCTCGCTGGGTGAGGAGCAGCTGCCCCCCCTCCCGGGGCTCGGGGGGCTCGGAGGTGCCCCGGGGGGGGGCTTCGGTCCAGGACTCCTCCCCGCCCCGTTAGATTCCTGAGGGAACCGCCCCTGGAACCTCACCACCCCATAGATAGAGGGGGTCACCCCCCCACGGGGCCAGCTGCCCCTTCCACATCCCCAAGTGCTGACTCTGCTTCTCCGTCCCCATCCGCAACAGCTGGAGACCCCCCCCCCCGTCTCCAAGAGAACCCTAAATCCTCCGCAGTCCCCTGCCCTCCCTGAGCAGCAGCATCTCCCTGAACACTGCCCCCCTCCCCCACACACACACATCACTCAGGTTCCCTTTCCATCCACCCAGGGAGCGGAGGAAGTGTGTGCAGGTGGCAGGGTGAGAGGATGGGTGTGCATGGGGAGGGGGGGTGCACACACGTGTGCAAGTGGGGAAGGGCCAGGTGTGCATGTGCAGAGAAGGATGGGAGAGGTGCTGCTAGACCCCATCTCTGTGGCTACGGGGAGTGTTATGGGGGTGCACTCACCACCCAAGCACCCTCTCTCGGTCAGGACACGACAGGGATTCGTCCAGCTTCAGCACCCCCTTTTGTCGGCTGATCTGGCTTTGCTGTGGTTTTTTTCTGGGTGACTCAGCCTTCAAGACAGGTCACACTTCAAGTTCAGTGCCCTTCCGGGGTATCCAAGTCCAGCTGTAACTGGTCAAACCCCACGCTGGCCTCTTCACAGTCCCTTCACCCACCTCCCCCCTGGTCCCACTGCAAAATCATAAAAATGTAAGTCCATCTCCCTGTGCTAAGGTGGGACCAAGTAAACCTAGACCATCCCTGGCAGTGGTTTGTCCAGCCTGTTCTTAAAAACCTCCAATGACGGGGACTCCACAACCTCCAGCCCTGGAACATGTTGCCTCTGAACTATCCATAGAGTTAGAAAGTTTTCTTAGGTTTCAGAGTAGCAGCCGTGTTAGTCTGTATTCGCAAAAAGAAAAGGAGGACTTGTGGCACCTTAGAGACGAACAAATTTATTTGAGCATAAGCTTTCGTGAGCTACAGCTCACTTCATCGGATGCATAAAGTGGAAAGTACAGTGAGGAGACTTTCCACTTTAAGCATCCGATGAAGTGAGCTGTAGCTCACGAAAGCTTATGCTCAAATAAATTGGTTAGTCTCTAAGGTGCCACAAGTCCTCCTTTTCTTTTTGCAAAGTTTTCTTAATATCTAACCTAAAGCTCCCTTGCTGCAGATTAAGCCTGATTGCTTCTTGTCCTGCCTTCAGTTGATCACTTGGCTTATTTTTAGATTGTTATCAGGTCCCCCCCTCAGTCTTCTTTTCTCAAGACTGAACATGCCCTGGGTTTTTTAACCTTTCCTCAGAGGTCAGGTTTTCTGAACCTTTTATTGTTTATGTTGCTGTTCTCTGGACTCTCTTCAGCATCTTTCCTAAAATGTGGTGCCCAGACTGCGACACCGTTCTCCAGCTGGGGTGTCTCCCAGTGCTGAGTAGAGCGGGACAATTACCTCTTGTGTCTTACACACAACACTCCTGTTAATACACCCCAAAGTCCTTCCAAATTAAACAGAACCTAGCAAAATCACAAGCTTCTTTCACAGAGTAGCAAATCCCAGGGCTTCTCCATAGAACTCAAAACGACAAACAAAATTAAACACTCCCAAAGCATTTCTCAGCCCTCTCCACGCTTGGGCCTCTCATTCCTCCAGGACTCCTTGTCAGTTCCCTGTTTCTCTTGTGGAATGCTGGCCACAGGACGGCATCCCTGGAGCCTGGCCCCTCATTCTAGGGCCCCACCACAGGAATAGAATGGAAGTGAACTTGCATGGCATGGCATGGCATGGCATGGCATGGCATGGCATGGGTCGTCACCTCTGCTCTACATCAAGCCCCTCACTGTGTTCTCTTAAGCCTTTCTATTATGAGGCCCAGGTGTTCACCATACTAAGATCCAACCCCATTATTCCCGCAGCCTCAGGCTGGGATGCCATTAATTATGGCACAGGTGGAGCTGGGCCCATTTCCCCTTAAAGGGGCCAGTCACCCCCGATGGGGGAACAGGCACTCTAGGCTCCGTTGTTATGGTTACAGCAGAATTGGGGAGATGCGCACTCAAGGTCCCGTCTCTATGGTTACAGCGGAATTGGGGAGATGCGCACTCGAGGCCCCATCTCTATGGTTACAGCAGAATTGGAGAGATGCGCACTCGAGGCCCCATCTCTATGGTTACAGCGGAATTGGGGAGATGCGCACTCGAGGCCCCATCTCTATGGTTAGAGCGGAATTGGGGAGATGCGCACTCGAGGCCCCATCTCTATGGTTACAGCGGAATTGGAGAGATGCGCACTCGAGGCCCCATCTCTATGGTTACAGCGGAATTGGAGAGATGCGCACTCGAGGCCCCATCTCTATGGTTACAGCGGAATTGGAGAGATGCGCACTCGAGGCCCCATCTCTATGGTTAGAGCGGAATTGGGGAGATGCGCACTCGAGGCCCCATCTCTATGGTTACAGCGGAATTGGAGAGATGCGCACTCGAGGCCCCATCTCTATGGTTAGAGCGGAATTGGGGAGATGCGCACTCGAGGCCCCATCTCTATGGTTACAGCGGAATTGGAGAGATGCGCACTCGAGGCCCCATCTCTATGGTTAGAGCGGAATTGGGGAGATGTGTACTCAAGGCCCCATCTCTATGGTTAGAGCGGAATTGGAGAGATGCGCACTCTAGGCTCCATCTCTACGGTTTCAGCAGAGCTGGGGAGATGTGCATGCTTGGCCCTACTCTATGGTTACATGCAGGCATGGGGAAATGCACATTCTAGGCCCCATCTCTTTGGATACGGGGGAGCCAGGGAAGTGCACACTCTAGATATAGTCTCTATGATTATGGTTGAGCCTGGAAGATGCACACTCTACGCTGGGTCTCTATGTTACTGGCAGGCCAGGGAGATTTGTGCTCTGAGTCTCATCGCTATTTACTGGGGGGTGGGGTTGGGAATATGGAGTCTAAGCCCTCACTCTTTGGTTACAGGTGGGCCAAAGAGACGTGCATTTTTCTAGGCCCATCTCTGTGGTTACAGGCGGGCTAGAGAGACGTGTTCTCTATGGTTACAGCATAGGTGGGGAGCAAGATTGGGAGTGAACTCAGGGAAACCTCAAGAGGAGACTAGAGAGAATGGGGAGAATCCCTTTTTAAACTTATTATTATTATTGAGGGGATATTATATTCATAGTCTTGTTTGCATAATTATATGGAAATTAGGGGATTGGCTCATTTGCATAAACCCTCCAGATTTCTGAGCCTGCAGCCACGACATCACAGTGAGGGGGCAGCTGGAGAGTGGGAGGGTGGTATAAATGTTGCTTCTGGGCAGAGTAGATACTTTCCACTGATGCCCAGGCCTATAACAACACCGATGATTCACTGGGCATAGCCAGGATCTGCCCTGCCAGGGGTTTCACTTCCTGCCCATCAGGTTTTCTGCTCAGTGACAAACCCCTTTGCTGCCCCTTCTCTGCCCAGCAGGGAACAAGTCCCAGCTGGATTCTCTCTCTCTCCCAGCAGGTTCCAGGACCAAGAAGTGGAATCCCCATCAAGATGAGCCTGCGGGCGCAGACCTGCAAGGGATGCCCCAGAGCCCTGAGCAGGGAGACAATGGTTATAGCCAGGGAAGGAGAGGACGGCAGCAGGGAGACACAGAGGGAGAACCCACTGATGAAGAATGTTCTAAGAAGCTCCTTGGCTTGCAAAGAACCTGCACAGCAGAGAGACCCTATAAATGCCCTGAATGCGGGAAAAGCTTCACCCAGAGCTCTATGCTCATCCGCCATGAGAGATCCCACACGGGAGAAAAACCCTACACATGCTCTGTCTGTGGGAAGAGTTTTAGTCAGAGGTCCAATCACATGCAGCATCAGAGGATCCACACAGGGGAGCGACCCTATAAATGCACTGACTGTGGGAAGAGTTTCTCTCTGAGCTCCCGCCTGCTCCAGCATCAAATGGTGCATACTGGAGAGCGGCCTTACAAATGCCCTGACTGTGGGAAGAGCTTCAACCAGAAGTCGAACCTGAAGCAGCACCAGCGAATCCACACAGGGGAGCGACCCTACAGACGTCCTGACCATGGAGAAAGCCGCTCTCTGAGCCCACCCCAGGAGATCCATAAAGTAGAGAGACCCTATAAGTGTCCCCAGTGTGGAAAATGCTTCCGTGTGAGCTCACACCTTATTAGACACCAAGTCACCCACACGGGAGAGCGACCCTATAAATGCTCCGACTGCGGGAGAAGCTTCTCGCTGAGCTCTCACCTCATCCGGCACCGGATAGTCCACACAGAGGATAAACCCTACGTCTGCACTGAGTGTGGGAAGAAGTTTAGCCTAAGCTCCAGGCTCGACAGGCACCTGAGAACCCACACGGGAGAGAGACCTTATAAATGCCCCAACTGTGGGAGTGGCTTCGTCGACAGCTCCGCTCTTATTAAGCACCAGAGGATTCACACTGGGGAGCGACCCTATACCTGCCCTGAATGTGGGAAGAGCTTTGGTCGGAGCTCATACCTTATCACCCACCAAAGAACCCATACGGGAGAGAGACCCTATAAATGCCCCGACTGCGGGAAAAGCTTTGTTGGCAGTTCTGATCTTAATAAACACCAGCGCACCCACACGGGGGAGCGCCCCTATAACTGCCCTGAATGTGGGAAGAGCTTCAGCCGGAGCTCAAACCTTATTGCCCATCAGAGAATCCACACCCGTTCCTTCACTCCTACTCAGGGATGTGGTTAAGGGGATTTTGAATGTTGGCATTAAACATTTTGGGAGGGTTATTTATTTGATCACTTGGCTCCCATGTAGCCTCTTATTTCCAACCTGCCTAGTGCCTTGTTCATCCTGTATTACACCCTGTGTTTAATACAGCTAAATGTAAATGTATACATCTGGGAACAAAGAGTGTTGGCCAGACTTACAGGATGGGGGACTGTCCTGGGAAGCAGGGACTCTGGAAAAGATTTGGAAGTTATGGTGGATAATCAGCTGAACACGAGCTCTCCCTGCAATGCTATAGCCAAAAGATCTAAAGCAATCCTGGGATGCATAAACAGGGGACTCTCAAGTGGGAGTAGAGAAGTTATTTTACCTTTGTATTTGGCACTTTTGCAACCACTGCTGGAATATTGTGTCCAGTTCTGGTACCTACAATTCAAGAAGAATGTTGATAAATTGGAGAGAGGTCAGAAAATAGCCACAAGAATGATTAAAGGATTAGAAAGCATGCCTTATGGTGGCAGACTCAAGGAGCTCAATCTATTTCGCTGAACAAAGAGAAGATTATGAGATGACTTGATCACAGTCTATAAGTAACTCCACAGGAAAAAAATGTTTAATAATGAACTCCTCAGTCTAGCAGAGAAAGATCTAACACAATCCAGTGGCTGGAAGTTGAAGTCAGACAAATTCAGACTGGAAATAAGGCATAATTTTTTAATGGTCAGAGTAATTAACCATTGGAGAACTGACCAAGGGCTGTAGTGGATCTCCATCTCTGACAATTTTTAAATCAAGATGGGATGTTTTTTTGAAAGCTCTGCTCTAGGAATTATTTTGGGGAAGCTCTATGGACTATGAGATACAGGAGGTCAGACTAGATGACCACAATGGCTTTAGAATCTGTGAATCTACATAAAACCTTGTCAGGAATAGATTTTTAGTTGGTAAATGTCAATTTCACCGTGCACACACAAACCAGTGACAAAATATTTCCAGTGATAATCAAAATTTACAGATAGGCAAAGTAAGAAAAATGCTGCTTTAGAACTTCTTGGAGTCAAAATCCAGTGACTGGAAATAAACTTATTACAAATCCACTAGTGAATGAATAGTAAAATAGGTAGGATTTGATGATGTCAGGATATTGACTTTGTATATTTTGACATGTGAAGTTGACAATTTGGTTTTAATGGTTTATAAAACTAGAATTTTTTGAATCTCAACATCTGCTATCATTAAATAATTATCTGACCCTCCCGACTTAATTTCCAGCGACTGTGAAAATGTAAAGAGATTAAAAAAAAATAAACTTTGGTATTAACTGTTGAAATTATTTCTAAAAATTCTGCCAAACCTAGTTTTATTATATATATTTATATATATATTGTGACAGGATCAGGCCAGATGGCTACCGCAGAGTGATCAAAGGTAGATATATTAGCCCCAGATTAAGCAGGTGCCTTTACCCTGAGTAAAATAATGGGCTGTTCCAGAACAATCAGGAAGTTGCTGGAACCAATTAAGGCAGGCTAATTAGGACACCTGGAACCAATTAAGAAGCTACCAGAATCAATTAGGACAGGCAGGCTAATCAGGGCACCTGGTTTTAAAAAGGACCTTCCTTCAGTTAGTGAGGCACATGCAAGGAGCTGGGAGCAAGAGGCGTGCAAGAAGCTGAGAGTGAGAAGGTGTACTGCTGGAGGATGGAGGAGTACAAGCGTTATCAGACATCAGAAGGAAGGTCCTGTGGTGAGGATAAAGAAGGAGCTGGGAGGAGGCCATGGGGAAGTAGCCCAGGTAGTTGTAGCTGTCATGCAGTTGTTACAGGAGACACTGTAGACAGCTGCAATCCACAGGGCCCTGGGCTGGAACCCAGAGTAGAGGGTGGACCTGGGTTCCCCCTCATCCCTCTCAACTCCCTATTTGATACAAGAGGAGGTGACATGGACTGTGGGTCCCACCAGAGGGGAAGGTCCCTGGCCTATCCCCCAACCCACTAGGTGGGTGAGCAGAGGCTGCTGGGATTGATCTCCTCCCTTTCCCCATGCTGGCTAGTGATGAGGTAATATGAATGAACAGCGGGTTTGAGGCACTAGCAAAAGTGGCCAATCTGAGGGCTGCCGTGAATCTCTGAGGCGATCAAATCCACCAATAAGTGCAGGACCCACCAAGGCAGAGGAGGAACTTTGTCACAATATATACATATAAGCTCTTTGGGACAGGGCCTGTCTCTTCAATATGTACAATGCCTAGCACATTGGGATCCCACACTTGATTGGTCCCTCTGGGTATAACCAGGCTGGAAACATTAAAATAACAAAAATGTCCATGTTTTGATTTATGAAATGTTTTTGCAGCCTTTCTTTGAGAAGCTCTAACACCTCTCTCATTTGTAGCAGGGTTCTGAAATTAAGCAGAGGGAAAGCCCTTGGGCTGGAGAAGTGCCTTTTCTTTGTCCTGGAAGGTCTGCTCCAGTTTGGCTGAGATATCAGTTGTTACCAGTCACCAATTCTTTTCTCTCACTTGGGTTCCTCCAGAAAGTGGCGAGAGGCTGCGGGAATAACACCCGAACTCAACCATTGTAGAGCCAGGCCTGTCCTGGAGCAGCACACACGACTGGAAATGTGTGGGACCTGCTGGCATGGGAGGAAATGGGGGACACACAGAGCCCCTGGCCTGAGGGAGAAGGAGGGGGGTCTCTGAAATAGAGCGGTTGGGATGGTGGCACACAGGGAACTTGAATGGAAGGAAAGCGTGAGCCCCTGGTGTGTGCACTGAGTAAAGCCTGAGCCGAATACACTCTCTGAAGGGGTGGGGGAAGTGCCCTCTGCATCTTAGCTCTGAAACCTGTTACTCTGGGGACAGGACAGGACATGGAGGCAGAGAGGAAAGCCCCAAAGCCCCAGACACAGATTTTGTTGCCGGGTTGGATTGGAGCTGAGTTCCCAGCCAGCCTGTGATGGGGTTGCCACACTGGGCAACAAGGGTTAAGGGATTATTTTGGGCTCAGCCAGCTCTGCCCTGCCCCACCTGCAGCAAATGCTCCATCTGCTGGAGGAGTTAAAAGACTGGGAATTCACTCATTTGGGTTGCAGAGCGAGAGGTGAGAAGACCTGCAGAATGCAGTGGGAAGCTTGAAGGCTGTGATAACTGCCCGGAAAGAAGGACCCACCCAGAGAGGGACGTATCCTTTGCACATTGGTAACCCCCTCTTATTTATTGTGGTTTGGCTTTCCCCACCAGGAGCCGGAAGCAGGAAGATACTGACGAGGCTCTCCATTGCCTCTGGCCTGAGGGAGAAGGAGGGAGTCCGTGAAATAGAGGGGTTGGGATGCTGGCACACAGGGAACTTGAATGGCAGGAAATCGTGAGCCCCTGGTGTGTGCACTGAGTAGGGCCTGCTGGAGAAAGAGACATGTGCAATCTTTTGGTGGAGAAGGTACTAGCAAGGGACTCGGTATTCCTGGACCTTGAGGGAGTCATTCCCTTCTCTGAGCCTCTTTCCCTCTCCCACCTTGGGTCTGCCTTGGGCAGGCCTGGCTCGTGGCTGGGACTGCTGCCCTAAAGTTCTTCCTCTGTAATCTGTTGCCTTTCAAGTCCACTGAACGCCCCCTGAGGGTTTTGTGGCACAGAAGATCCTAAGCTCCTGTCTCCACCTCGCTCCGGTCCCCTCTCCCTCCCCCCCTCTCTGGGCTAACCAGCCCCTGGCTCTCCAGCCTCACTCCAGAGGACCGTCTGTCCTGCCGGCTCATCCTTCTCCTGCCCCAGCCCTGCCCCCGGGCCTCGCTGCGCCTGCCAGGCCACGGGGAGATTCGTAGCTCTTCAAGCCACAAAGCACCGCTGGGATCCTCGTGTCTGACCTCCCCTGGAACACGGGTCCGAGACCTGCCCGGAATGAATTCCCGCTTCAGCCAGAGCGGATCTCTCGGCAACAGGGACAGCCTTGAACAAAGGCGCCGGCTCCCCGCCCCTTCATGAATATTCAACAGGGGGCGGGGCTGGGGCGGAAACCTCCAGCCCGCCCCACACAACCAGCCCCCCCGGGGCATGGCCAAGGGAGACTCCATTTCCCAGAGACCTTGGCCAAGTGGGCCGCGCTGAAAGCCGCCCCCGCCCCCGCCCCGTCCGAAAGTCGCTCCCGCCCCAGCCCGAGTGCGGGGGACGCTGGCCCCAGGGGCAGGTGCGGCGCGGGGTGCCCGCCCCGGTGGCTCCCGGCGGGGCTGGAGGAGGCTCCCGCGGGGCGGGGGCTCCCGGCGGACGGGCAGAGGCAGCGCTGCGGGACGCGCCGCAGGAGAATTACCAGGATCTCCCGGGCTCCGAGGACGGGGAGAGCCCGAGAGGCGCCCACCCAGGTGAGGGATGAGCGACACCGGCTCGGAGACCGTCCGGGAGGGAAGGGACCAGCTGGGACCCCAGCAAAGCCGCCGGGAGCCCCCAGTTCTGTCTCCTCCCAGTATCGTCCCCAGCAGGTCCCTGTCCTCAGGGCAGGTGTCACTCCCGGATCCCCCCGGCAGGAGCCCTCCCCTCCCCCAGCCTTTCCCTGGGGGCTCAGCTGGGCTGTTGGGGCAGCCCCGGCCCGCCTCTCCCCTCAGGGAAGGGTTTGGGGGATTCACGTCCTGCCCATCAGGTTTTCCGCTCAGCGACAAACCCCTTTGCTGCCCCCCCCTTCACCCCAGCGCAGGGACCGAGCCCCACCTGGATTCTCTCTCTCTCTCCCAGCAGGTGCCGGGATGGCGAGTGGGAACTTTGAGGAGATCCCCCAGCGGGAAGGGACTGTGGGAGCGGAGCTGCCCAGGACCTCCCAGAGCCCCAAGCCGGAGGATACTGATGAGGCTCTCCATTGCCATTCTGCCCCCCCGGCAGGGAAACTGAGTCAATCCAGAGCTGGTGTCGAAGCTGAATATGACATGGTGTCTCGGGGAACCCAGGCCAGGGAGAGAGCGAATACGTGCCCCGAGTGTGGGAAAAGCTTCCCTTGGAGCTCCCGGCTCCTCCGACACCAGAGATCCCACACCGGGGAGCGCCCCTACCAGTGCCCTGACTGTGGGAAGGGCTTCGTCGAGAGCTCGGGCCTGATCCAGCACCAGCGGACTCACACCGGGGAGCGCCCTTTCAGCTGCGGTGTGTGCGGGAAGAGTTTTGGCCTGAGCTCCCACCTGATCCGCCACCAGCACATCCACACGGGGGAGCGCCCCTACCAGTGCCCCGACTGCGGGAGGGGCTTCCTGCGGCGCTCCCAGCTCACCCTGCACTGCCGGACCCACACGGGAGAGAGACCCTATAAATGCCCTGAGTGCGGGAAGGGCTTCAGCGAGATCCGCAACCTGAACCGGCACCAGCGCACCCACACGGGGGAGCGGCCCTACAAATGCCCCGAGTGCGGGAAGGGCTTTGCTCAGAGCTGCCACCTCCTGCAGCACCAGCGCACCCACACGGGGGAGCGGCCCTACAGGTGCCCCTGCGGGAGGGGTTTTGTCCGCAGCTCCCAGCTGATCCGGCACCAGTCGGTTCACACAGGGGAGAAACCATACAAATGTCCCATCTGCAGAAAATGCTTCACTCAGGCATCCACGCTGGCCAGCCACCTGCGGATCCACACTGGGGAGAGACCCTTCAAATGCCCCCAGTGTGGGAAGAGCTTTGTTCGGAGCTCGCACCTTATTATGCACCAGAGAACCCATATAGCATAGAATGCCATGCATGCCTCCCCCTACACGTCCCAGCCCTGGGGTGTGTATTAGCCAAGGTTCATCCCTTATAGCGCCCCATAAAACCCATACATGTGTCTCCCTTCGTACATGCTCCCTCCTGTGCAGGGGTACAGCTGAGGCGAGCTAAATAGTTTTAGGGACCTCACTTATTTCAAATAACCCCTTGGATTTAATCCCTTGATTTCTAGCCAAACTCATAGTGCCTTTTTGATGCACGGGGGTGGGGGGAGTGTTCAGAGATAACCATGGGGTTCAGATACCCCCTTTATTAATTTTAATGGGGATTGGATCGCCCCATCCCTTAGGCAGAAAAGGTGGCAATAAGGCATACATTTTTAACAGAGTAATTAACCAATGGAACAATTTACCATGGGTCATGGTGGATTGTCCATCCCTGGCAATTTTTAAATCAGGAGTGGAGGCTTTCCTACAAGCTCTGCTCTAGGAATTATTTGGAGGGAGTTCTCTGGCCTGTGCTATACAGGAGGTCAGACTAGATCAGTGGTTTTCAAGCTGTTTGTTGTGACCCAGTACTGGGTCGCGGAATGTCAGACGCTGGGTCGTGACACCTCTAATCAGCACCGCCGACCGTGCTGTTCATAGTCCCATCGGTGGTGCTGCCCGGCTAAGGCAGGCTAGATCCTATCTGCTCCGACACCGCACTGTGCCCTGGAAATGGCCAGCAGCAGGTCCAGCTCCTAGGTCGGGGGGCCATAGGGCTCCGTGCGCTGCCCCGAGCACCAGCTCCGTGCTCCCCAGCCAATGGGAGCGGGGGGGCGGTACCTGTGGCTGAGAGCCGTGCAGAGATTCTTGCGTGCCTCCACCTAGGAGCCAGATCTGCTGCTGGCCGCTTCCAGGGCACGGCGCTGTGCCGGGACCGGCAGGAAGTCTGCCTTGGCACCCCCGCTCCACTGCTAACCAGGAGCCATCCGAGGTAAGCCTGTGCCCCAATCCCCTGCCCTAGCCTGAGCCCTCCCCCAAACCTGGATCTTCCTCCTGCACCCCAAACCTCTCATCCCTGGCACCACCCTAGAACCTGCACCCCCAGCCCAGAGCCCTGCCCCCATCCCGCACCCTAACCCCCTGCCCCAGCCCAGAGCCCCCTACTACACCCTGAACCCCTCATTCCTGGCCCACCCCACAGCCCTCACTCCTGCACCTCAACCCCCAGCCCTGAGCCCCTCCCACACCCAAACCCCTCATCCCCAGCTCCGGTGGGTCATGGGCATCAACAATATTTTTCAACTGGGTGGCCAGAAAAAAAGTTTAAAAACCACTGGACTAGATGATCACAAGGGTCCCTTCTGACCTTGGGATCTATGAATCTAGGCACCTTTCGATGTCTGATCCCCACACATTGTAATGTGGATCGCGTTTCCAAAGCCCTGGGGCTCCAGGGAGAATCTCAGCTCTGTATCCGCTGAACAGACTGTAAAGTCTTTGAGGTAGGGACTTCCTCCACGGTCAGTATTCCTTGACCAACAAGGGACATGGATCACAACCTCTGTGTTCTATCAGGCTGCATGTAATAAAGACAACCTTCACAGGTGACAGTTTGGAAGTCAGTGTTGTCGTTATGGAGGTATTGAAAGGAAGGGTTGTGTTGGGGGTGAGTGTGGTTATTGGGGAGGCCTTAGAGGTTTGGATAATGAATTGGGGCTGGGTTTAGTTCCATTCTCCGGACTCTGGCATCTGGAGTTGCAAGTTTTTATCAGAAACCCCATTTTCATTAAAAACAAAATCTCTAACCCTCAAGGTTGCAAAGAAAAGTTTCAAAATGTCTCTTGGCTGGGAGCTGAACTCATCGCTCTGAGAGGTGGGAACTTTCCTGAATGGAACGAATGCTGCCTGAGTCTGCAGAGAGCCTGAGCCGAACACTCTCTGAAGGGGTGGGGGAAGTACCCTATGCATCTTAGCTCTGAAACCTGTTACTCTGGTGACAGGACAGGACACGGAGGCAGAGAGGAAGGCCCCAGACACAGATTTTGCTGCTGGATTGGATTGGAGCTGAGTTCCCAGCCAGCCTGTGATGGGGTTGCCGCACTATGCAACAAGGGGTTAAGGGATTATTTTGGGCTCAGCCAGCTCTGCCCTGCCCCATCTGCAGCAAATGCTCCATCTGCTGGAGGAATTAAGAGACAGGGAATTCGCTCCTTTGGGTTGTAGAGCGAGAGGTGAGAAGACCTGCAGAGTGGGAAGCCTGAAGGCTGTGATAGCTGCCCAGAAAGGAGGACCCACCCAGAGAGGGACGTATCCTTTGGACATTGGTAATCCCCTCTTATTTAATGTGGTTTAGCTTTTCCCACCAGGAGCGGAAGCGGGAAGATACTGCTGAGGCCCTCCATTGCCCCTGGCCTGAGGGAGAAGGAGGGAGTCCCTGAAATAGAGGGGTTGGGATGGTGGCACACAGGGAACTTGAATGGAAGGAAAGCGTGAGCCCCTGGTGTGTGCACTGAGTAGGGACTACTAGAGAAACAGACGTGTGCAATCTTTTGGTGGAGAAGGTACTAGCATTGGACTAGGTATTCCTGGACCTTGAAGGAGTCATTCCCTTCTCTAAAAAGAAAAAGAGTACTTGTGGCACCTGAGAGACTAACCAATTTATTTGAGCAGAAGCTTTCCTGAGCTACAGCTCACTTTATTGGATGCATTCAGTGGAAAATGCAGTGAGGAGATTTATATACACACAGAACATGAAAAAATGGGTGTTTATCATGCATACTGTAAGGAGAGTGATCACTTCAGATAAGCTATTACCAGCAGGATAGCGGGGAAGGGGTGGGGGGGGTTAAAGAAAACCTTTTGTAGTGATAATCAAGGTGGGCCCTTTCCAGCAGTTAAGAATGTCTGAGGAACAGTTCCGCGGGGGGGGGGGGGGATTAAACATGGGGAAATACATTTACTTTGTGTAATGACTCATCCGCTCCCAGTCTCTCTTCAAGCCTAAAATAATGGTATCCAGTTTGCAAATTAATTCCAATTCAGCAGTCTCTCGTTGGAGTCTGTTTTTGAAGCCTTTTTGTTGTAATATTGCGACTTTTAGGTCAGAGATCGAGTGACCAGAGAGATTGAAGTGTTCTCCGACTGGTTTTTGAATGTTATAATTCTTGACATCTGATTTGTGTCCATTTATTCTTTTACGTAGAGACTGTCCAGTTTGACCAATGTACATGGCAGAGGGGCATTGCTGGCACATGACACGATAGCATTTTTATGGCTGACTTAGAACAACGCTTTCTCAGCTCTCGTCCCCTAATGCCCCTACTCTACTTGCGCTCTATTGATGACATCTTCATCATCTGGACCCATGGAAAAGAAGCCCTTGAGGAATTCCACCATGATTTCAACAATTTCCATCCCACCATCAACCTCAGCCTGGACCAGTCCACACAAGAGATCCACTTCCTGGACACTACGGTGCTAATAAGCGATGGTCACATAAACACCACCCTATACCGGAAACCTACTGACCGCTATTCCTACCTACATGCCTCCAGCTTTCACCCTGACCACACCACACGATCCATTGTCTACAGCCAACCTCTACGATACAACCGCATTTGCTCCAACCCCTCAGACAGAGACAAACACATACAAGATCTCTATCAAGCATTCTTACAACTACAATACCCACCTGCTGAAGTGAAGAAACACATTGACAGAGCCAGAAGAGTACCCAGAAATCACCTACTACAGGACAGGCCCAACAAGGAAAATAACAGAATGCCACAAGCCAACCAGCCCTCAACAAAACCCCTCCAACGCATCCTCAAGGATCTACAACCTATCCTGAAGGACGACCCATCACTCTCACAGATCTTGGGAGACAGGCCAGTCCTTGCCTACAGCCAGCCCCCCAACCTGAAGCAAATACTCACCAGCAACCACACACCACACCACAGAACCACTAACCCAGGAACCTATCCTGGCAACAAAGCCCGTTGCCAACTGTGCCCACGTATCTATTCAGGGGACACCATCATAGGGCCTAATCCAATCAGCCACGTTATCAGAGGCTCATTCACCTGCACATCTACCAATGTGATATATGCCATCATGTGCCAGCAATGCCCCTCTGCCATGTCCATTGGTCAAACTGGACAGTCTCTACGTAAAAAAATAAATGGACACACATCAGATGTCAAGAATTATAACATTCATAAACCAGTCGGAGAACACTTCAATCTCTCTGGTCACTCGATCTCTGTCCTAAAAGTTGCAATATTACAACAAAAAGCCTTCAAAAACAGACTCCAACGAGAGGCTGCTGAATTGGAATTAATTTGCAAACTGGATACAATTATTTTAGGCTTGAATAGAGACTGGGAGTGGATGAGTCATTACACAAGGCAAAACTATTTCCCTATGTTTATCTCCCCTCCCCCACCCCCACTCCCCACTGTTCCTCAGACATTCTTCTTAACTGCTGGAAAGGGCCCACCTTGATTATCACTACAAAAGGTTTTCTTTAGCCCTCCCCACCCCACCCCCGCGCTCTCCTGCTGGTAATAGCTCATCTTAAGTGATCACTCTCCTTACAGTGTGCATGAAAAACACCCATTGTTTCATGTTCTGTGTGTATATCAATCTCCTCACTGCATTTTCCACAGAATGCATCCGATGAAGTGAGCTGTAGCTTACGAAAGTTTATGCTCAAATAAATTGGTTAGACTCTCTGGTGCCAAAAGTCCTCCTTTTCTTTCTGCGAATACAGACGAACACGGCTGCCACTCTGAAACCATTCCCTTCTCTGAGCCTCTTTCCCTCTCCCGCCTTGGGTCTGCCTTGGGCAGGCCTGGCTCGTGGCTGGGACTGCTGCCCTAAAGTTCTTCCTCTGTAATCTGTTGCCTTTCAAGTCCACTGAACGCCCCCTGAGGGTTTTGTGGCACAGAAGATCCTAAGCTCCTGTCTCCACCTCGCTCCGGTCCCCTCTCCCTCCCCCCCTCTCTGGGCTAACCAGCCCCTGGCTCTCCAGCCTCACTCCAGAGGACCGTCTGTCCTGCCGGCTCATCCTTCTCCTGCCCCAGCCCTGCCCCCGGGCCTCCCTGCGCCTGCCAGGCCACGGGGAGATTCGTAGCTCTTCAAGCCACAAAGCACCGCTGGGATCCTCGTGTCTGACCTCCCCTGGAACACGGGTCCGAGACCTGCCCGGAATGAATTCCCGCTTCAGCCAGAGCGGATCTCTCGGCAACAGGGACAGCCTTGAACAAAGGCGCCGGCTCCCCGCCCCTTCATGAATATTCAACAGGGGGCGGGGCTGGGGCGGAAACCTCCAGCCCGCCCCACACAACCAGCCCCCCCGGGGCATGGCCAAGGGAGACTCCATTTCCCAGAGACCTTGGCCAAGTGGGCCGCGCTGAAAGCCGCCCCCGCCCCCGCCCCGTCCGAAAGTCGCTCCCGCCCCAGCCCGAGTGCGGGGGACGCTGGCCCCAGGGGCAGGTGCGGCGCGGGGTGCCCGCCCCGGTGGCTCCCGGCGGGGCTGGAGGAGGCTCCCGCGGGGCGGGGGCTCCCGGCGGACGGGCAGAGGCAGCGCTGCGGGACGCGCCGCAGGAGAATTACCAGGATCTCCCGGGCTCCGAGGACGGGGAGAGCCCGAGAGGCGCCCACCCAGGTGAGGGATGAGCGACACCGGCTCGGAGACCGTCCGGGCGGGAAGGGACCAGCTGGGACCCCAGCAAAGCCGCCGGGAGCCCCCAGTTCTGTCTCCTCCCAGTATCGTCCCCAGCAGGTCCCTGTCCTCACGGCAGGTGTCACTCCCGGATCCCCCCGGCAGGAGCCCTCCCCTCCCCCAGCCTTTCCCTGGGGGCTCAGCTGGGCTGTTGGGGCAGCCCCGGCCCCCCTCTCCCCTCAGGGAAGGGTTTGGGGGATTCACGTCCTGCCCATCAGGTTTTCCGCTCAGCGACAAACCCCTTTGCTGCCCCCCCCTTCACCCCGGCGCAGGGACCGAGCCCCACCTGGATTCTCTCTCTCTCTCCCAGCAGGTGCCGGGATGGCGAGTGGGAACTTTGAGGAGATCCCCCAGCGGGAAGGGACTGTGGGAGCGGAGCTGCCCAGGACCTCCCAGAGCCCCAAGCCGGAGGATACTGATGAGGCTCTCCATTGCCATTCTGCCCCCCCGGCAGGGAAACTGAGTCAATCCAGAGCTGGTGTCGAAGCTGAATATGACATGGTGTCTCGGGGAACCCAGGCCAGGGAGAGAGCGAATACGTGCCCCGAGTGTGGGAAAAGCTTCCCTTGGAGCTCCCGGCTCCTCCGACACCGGAGATCCCACACCGGGGAGCGCCCCTACCAGTGCCCTGACTGTGGGAAGGGCTTCGTCGAGAGCTCGGGCCTGATCCAGCACCAGCGGACTCACACCGGGGAGCGCCCTTTCAGCTGCGGTGTGTGCGGGAAGAGTTTTGGCCTGAGCTCCCACCTGATCTGCCACCAGCAAACCCACACGGGGGAGCGCCCCTACCAGTGCCCCGACTGCGGGAGGGGCTTCCTGCGGCGCTCCCAGCTCACCCTGCACTGCCGGACCCACACGGGAGAGAGACCCTATAAATGCCCTGAGTGCGGGAAGGGCTTCAGCGAGATCCGCAACCTGAACCGGCACCAGCGCACCCACACGGGGGAGCGGCCCTACAAATGCCCCGAGTGCGGGAAGGGCTTTGCTCAGAGCTGCCACCTCCTGCAGCACCAGCGCACCCACACGGG